GCCAAGGTTCAAAGGTTTAATGTACTTTGCTTTTTTGAAAATGTTCACATGCTTAGAAAAAATGAGCACAGAGCCAGGCTGAGGGAGGACTGAGGTTAAAACCTACTTCAGTAAATAGCATTCAGGCAGGCGGGCCAACGGTGGCTGAGGCACGTTCCAGATGTTAGTAGTACTGGGCGTGGATGCTAAGCAACTAGCTATTTTTAGCCACAGAGCACAGGAAGGAAATGAAAGGAGCAGGAGTTCAGTGTGCACGGGATTCAGAGCAGCAGAGAGGGTAATCAAACACTGCCGACCAATGGCAATCACGCCGTCCTGACACAATGGTGGCTCGCCTGCCGCTGGCTTAGTGTTATCACAACATACTTGCACTGAGAGTGGGTGTGAGATGAATGAGTTGAGAGAGGAGGACAGTGAGAAAAGGGAAGAGATGGATGGGGGAAGTGAGCTGGAAAGAAAAGCAGCAGAAAAGGGAGCAGTTGGTGCAAATTAAATCAGGGGATTGGTGTTTCTTTCACATAGCATCTCCATCTGTTTCAAGGTGTGTTTGGTGTATTCGATATTAAGTAAACCAATTATAGACTGTGGTGCAGACCAAATTTCTGAAATAGATTACAAAACAAAAAAATAATATCTGATTTCATCCCAAGAACATGCAGTCACTCACTTATGGAAGCAAAAGCAAAGACTGACACTACAATTTCTCCGTTCCAAGGAGGAAAACTTAGCGGTAAAGTGGAAGAGTTCACAAATGCATACAAGTCTTCATCGCGGGTTTGCTAGAAAATCTGCCTTCTGTCACCTGAACCACCTGCCAAGTGAGAGCTGTTTCAGATAAACAACAACCTCACACTGAGGGACCAATTTCCATTCAAATGCAGCGCACAAATAAAATCCATTCACCTTGACACTGTACTATCGAGTCAATGAGCATCACTTGGATGGCTCCGACACTTCACAAGACAGTCATTCGCGGGGCCAAGGCTGTTTAGATGAGATAGAAACTGATGCACGCAACACTGTCTGCATTTCAAATAAATGACGCTCTCCCCTTTAATGAAGACGGCAAATCTGTCAGAAAGCTTCCTTCCTTCTCTCCAGTCACACACAGAACATTACCAAACTGTTGATAGATGGTTAACAGGTGCAGGCTAATTATGCTAATCATGGCAACAGCCAAATAAACTGATTGCCATGTTCATTTAAATGACAGCAATGTTCCTTTGGTGGCTAATTAAAATAGGTTGTGAGAAAGGAAACGAGGCGGCTGGGTTCGGATGGAGGGAGGTGTTTAAATAAAAGCGTCCTCTGGGGTCTACTGTAATAAGCTGTATTTCATTGGTTTAATGATGTCATAATGAATTTCTGATGGGGGATGGGTTAGGGTGCATAGTCGAGAAGTGTGGCGATATGTGCGTGAAACCATACAACTACGGTCCCCCTCCCCTAGCTCATGTTGCGTGTGGGGTATGGTATTCCTCGTTGAAATGAGGTATGCAGTGGAAATAAAAGTCAGTAGAGGATATCAAGCAGGGTATGTGCTCCGTCTGTTTTAATACTAGCCCCACTGGAAAGGGCAGGGGAAGGTTTTGAAGGGGCAATTACTTTTTCAGCATTGGGCCCAGTTGGCCCCTGTCTCCATCTGCATGTGACCCGGGAGACGGCATCATTAGAGGCAGAGATGGCGATCAGAGGCCATGGGGGATGAACTCTGGGGCGCCTCACAGCCACTGTGGTTAGGGGCTGATTAATGTGTATAGAGGCAGCTGCTATCAAAACCCTCTCTCTTCCCCGGCCCCTCTCCCCAAAGTCCACTTTTTGAATTCCACTGCAAAAGACGAGATTAAAAATTAACGGTTTAGGCTCTATTTTTGCAAACACCCCATTTGTTTTCAAAAAGGAGTGCCACCAGGGACATCCACGTAGTCTTTCACTAAGAAATCTCTCTTCCTTCTCCTTTTTTTCCTCTTTCTTTGTCCTCTTCCTCAAAGAGGTAAAGCATTTGAAGAAAATTGGCTGCGAGACCATATCTTGTGGTGTTCACACTTCTCCCAATAATGGGGGCAAACTGGACATGTGCACATGGTGAATAATTGCTGTGTTGTTTCATTTCTAAATTGTTTAAATCATTGCTGTGGCAACACTTTCTCCAGAACATTTGGTATTCCCATTGCAATGCAAGAGGAGAGAACCTCTGGATGCACTCAAGCGAAAACTGTCAGCTGATGTGCCTTTGGAGGGATGGATCATACAAGTGGCATCTACTATGAGGGTTCTCAGGCTGGGTGCGTCCTTTCATCAAAATTTGCACAAGCCCCAAAGCTGTTTCACTCCAAAACGTCTAAATCCCTTTGGCAAGCATTTCCATTTTTTGTGTAGGTGAAAACAAAGGATAAAAGAATGATATGGAATGAAGACAAGAATGATACCATACTATTATTTATACGAGTTAGAATTTCCTTTGTTTGCTATCGGATGATCACACAAAGAAACGTTTTTGTCCAGGTAACAAAAGAGGAAAAAGCACACACCAGTGATGAACTGGAAAAAAGGAGGAATGCAGGAATAAAACATTCCCCTTTTCTCTTCCGTTTATGAGGTATTCTCCCTATTTAAATGTATGCCACATTAGTAGGGATCTACTCAATTCAATATATTATAATGTGATGTTTGGCCTTAATGGAAAATCAATGGTGAGACAAGCCCGCCACCGCTGAGACCATACAAAAGCAATTTCCAAATTGACATATGGAGGGCCGATGTGATTGATTCTGACTGCTGTTGGATTTTAATACCATTCAGTACGAGCTCATTGACTCTCAGACATCGTCTTGTGGTTTATCTGCAAACTGCCAAATGAGTCCTTGTCTCCTTTTTCTTCTCTCATCTTTTCCATCTCCGTCTTTGTTTGGCCTCTTCTCATTCCAAAGCAGGGAGAGTGGATGTGTTGAATTGGATATATGTTAGATAAACGGGCAGATGACTCTCCGCATATGCATCCTCTTTCTAATCAATCAGAGCGAGGATGTAATACAGTTTATTCAGATCTCACCTCTACAGAGTAATTCCTTCCGCTGGAGTATAAATCCTACATGTTCCTTCAATTAGCGGAAGACCTACAGTATTAACATTCCCACTTCACCAGTCCTGACACAATAGCATCAGCTATCGTCATCAATTGAATGACTTCATACTGTCCCTGCTGCTTCTTTTAACAGTCAATTTGCCTAGCCCCGTCCCCATGTTCACTCACATGAAAAGAAAGTATGTCATAACCCCCTTTTCCAGTTTTCTATACCAATAAGTTCATATGTTCGTTTACACTACCTAATTTAATTTCCTTTCTGACATGTACAACCACAAACTTTAAACTAAACCAAACTAATTCCATCCATCTATACATCCATTTTCTACCAGTTATCAGGGTCTGGGTCATAGAGGCAGCAGGCTGAGCGAAGCACCTAATTGTGCTTATCTACAGCCATAACCACCGGCTCCTCACTGGGGAATCCTGAGACATTCCCAGGCCAGGTGGGTTATGCAATTCTTCCTCAGTTTCCTGGGTCAAAGTCATAGACAGTATATTACTGGACACAACCACCCCGCAGATTTGAATGGAGAGCAGTGAAGCCAGTTTAGGACCAATACAATACTACTAGGGCGCTACTTCCTGTTGGCACCAGCGTCTACTGTGCATGATCGCGCAGCATAGCGGTGGTTTAATGACATAAAGCAAGAGCAGAAACACTGTAATTCTGGTAGCCGCATAGTGCGCCAACAAAAAGTTTATCTCAGTGGTTTTTTTGTGACTTGGATCATGATTTTTTAATCAGCCCACCTACAAGGTTCACCTGCCGAACACCAACACAGCGTCACTGATGGCCGAATAGTTTTTTTAGATTCACATAGAGTTTATAATCTAAGCATTATGGTTACATCTGTCATGTGTCACAGGATGTCGCAGGGTTTTCATTTTTGGGCCTACATGAAACCTTCCAGGCTTTGATCGGCTTCACTATTCCAACTGTGGCTTACCCCCTTGGTCACAGTCAACTAGGAAACATTCCCAGACCATCTCCAAAGGAAGGCATCCACGAGGCATCCCAATCAGATGCTGAACCACTTTTCAATGAATTAGAGCAGCACTGCTCCAAAAATGTCCACTCATACTCCATGTCACTAACCTCCCCCAAGATGAAGGAAAAAAAAAAGACCTTGTGGCCAGTAGCCTTATGACTACCAATTTAATAAAAACAAAAATCTACTTGAATATCCCATAAAAAAAAACTCTCCATGGAGCTAATATGACGTGCGAGTGAGTCACTCACCTTTACTGCTCACACAGCCAACATACACACACATCCACACTGTATTCTAACAGCAGACTGTTAGAAAGCAGAGTCAAGTTTAACTCTAGTTGCTCAGTGACATGAGATGAGATTGCTGACCCTGAAGTGTTACACCAAAAGCTCATCTGGGCTCTTTGCTCCATATTGCAGTTAATGTAACTGACAGATCTGACTTTGAACTAGCTTAAAAACCCAAGCAAATCACATGGGCAGGCTGTGCTATACTGTAGATGCTCAAACAACTTTGCACTCACAAATGCGTGAACTGTTCCACCACACATACACGCGTGATGTTAGCTGAAAACGTCATATATTGTGTAAAATTAAGAAAATGGTATGTTTTATTTGACAACCATATACTTCACGGACAAAAAAAGACTATAAAACTATAGTAACCAGTATATCGGCCCATCTAAAAACACCATAAAACACACCTTAGGTTTTCATCTGACAACAGAAAGACGTAGCTCCTGCTGTAAGCGATATTATCAGTAATGCAAGCAGCATCATGTCTCTAAGCGCCCACTGTAGTTAGAATATAGCCTATGGGCAACACCATTTTTGAGCTCATCACAGTGTCAGCTCAAGTGCAGACCGTTTCGGAGGCTGGAAAGTAGGGCATTCATTCGTATGTCTAATGCTTTAACTCACCTTGCCAAAATCCCTGACGTCAAAGAGGTCAAAAGGGTCAAACAGCTCACTGTTGCGCAGGCCAAACTTGTCGTGGCACACCTTGAGAAACGTCCGGATGTTCTTCAAACACAGGAACTACAAAAAAATAAAGGGAAAGAGGGAAGACAAAAACACATCAATGCACGCTCAAACTGAATCTTGCATACACACAATTCCAGACAGTGAACAACCACGTCGGATCCATACCAGTTTCGTAACAGCACGATTAAACAAGCAGAATCTCTGCCCCCAGAAACATGTTCCACCAGTCTGTTTAATATCCCCTATCAATGCAACAGCAATTTTGTAAATATTTAATTTCCGGGTGGATGATTGGCAGGCTCTCCATTCCATCCTCTCTGACAGTGTATGTGTGATTCTTCAGCAGCAGAAATGAGCAGGCTGATTGCTGCTCCTAATGCTGCCTCTCTGATCCAGATAAGGACAGCCACAGATGAGCCTGTCTCCTGACATCAGAGCACGGACGCGGTATTCTCGGACGAGCTGCCCTTACACCTCACACTGAGAGGTCACAGGTCACAAACCAGACAAACTTCAACCACGTGTTCCATGGAAATGTGAGAAAAATACTGAAGCTGTGGCATTCAGAAGGCTTTTAATGAGTAACGCTGGTTTTGTATTTTATACTATAATACAAGATGATTCTTTAGTCTCTTTTAACCTCTTTGCAGCAGCAGATGAGTGGGATTTTTAATTCTGTATTTACTATTCTGTGTGAGAAATTCATAATAGTTGCAATCTACAAAGGTTAAAAAAATTTCTCTTATCTGCAGTGTTTTAACCAGATCTAGTAGAGAGAACGTATGAACTAAAGCCTGACTGTTAAAATGGTCACGTCAATATATTGGCCAATATTAGCTTATTATTGCAGATTGTTATCTGCTTTTTGAAAACAATGGCTACTACACAGTTATGGCAATAAAGCATATATGACAACTTGAGACTGTCTTTAAAGGAAATAGTGGAGTTCATAGGGACCCTGCAGCAGCAAGGATACTCATTATAAACCGCATTATAAAAACTCTATGGTCACAAAACACTGATGGTCCAAGTCCCTAAAATATGCCATCACACAGATGAAACTTGACGGCTGGAGAACAGGCCAATAACTGCACAGGTGTATTAGTGATAAGAATAACTGCCTCCCATGTCCCGTCTTAGTATGTGTGAAGAACACATTCTTTGCCATGTAAACCAAGATGCTGCTAGATATGCCCTTTCATTTCTCTCCGTGTGAGCAATATAAACCGGTGGCCATGGAAGCAGAATGTACACAGAACGACATTTGTGTGAAAAAGCCTATGTGGAACAAAATGCTTGATTGCCCATTCTACTAAAAGCTTTGACAATCATCCTTGTGTTGGCTGTTGGAAAAAAAAAAAAAAGAGCACAGCAACCAGCAGCCTTGCAAGTCACAGGTCACATTTAGTTAGTGTTACAACAGCATCAGTTGGTTTTCAGGTACAATAATATGCTGCAGAACATCCACTCTCCAAAAGGTATTGAAAAGAGCACAATGTCCTCATTTAATCCCTACTACAGGTTGATGAGCCATAGTGTTTCCTGTTGCTAAAACTGACCATGTAAGACCACATCTGCATCAGCCTGCAGAACTAATTGGTTTTCAGGCTTTGGAAAAGCACTGCAAAACTCATCTCATTGTCACCACTTCAGTAATTTTTCTGATAAAAAGCACAATTTCATCTGATATGGTTTTCTGGTATTTTGTGGCATTTCAGTCGGCCTCTCCTGGCCACACCTGAGAGCCCTGCTGACTCATTCTCATTCATGTGTGCACATCTGCTCAGTCCCAGTGTCATGGGTGTGAACCCCATAACAGAGCCGCACTGGCCAGTGAAAAGAAACGCGATTGGTTGGCTAGCCGAAGTGACATTTGCAGTTCAGCAGCTAAGGTTATCGAGTCTGCAAATCCTCACATGCAGTGGGGGGAAAAAATTGTATTTTCCCAGCCCAGATATAAAACAGTAACATTTGCTGGAGTGGTTTGGAGACGAGGGAGAGACTCTGCAGATATGGATCAGGAGGGGGAAGATGTGTCTGACATTCTAATGTATGTTTGGTGATAAGCGAGCCAGGGTAGGGGTAGGGAGAATTGCTATGATCCTGATGAAAAAAAACCACACCATTTCTTGTGGAGTGGAAAGTGGGAGCGCACCTGGGAATAAACAGGCTGCTGTCACCTCCTTAGGCTGAGGCTGCCCTTAGCACAATCCCTTTAGAATTACCTCACTGCGGTCTGCAACGCAGTCAAGGCTAGGCACAGATGTTCCTGTGCATCTTACATACACAACACTCTCAGACACATAAACTAACCAAAAAGTCAACAATGCTGATGGAATTAGAATGTAATTTGTATCCACATATATACGTGAACATTAAGGCTGAAACGATTCATCAGTTAAATCAAATGATTCATCAATTAAATCGCTTAATAAAATGCTTTGTTTAATCCATATAACTATACAGAACAGTGTTTCACAAGGACATTTATTACTGTCGCACATCACGCTTATGCTGTGAACATGACGTGAGAGCTGTTTGCAAAGTGGAGGAAGAGAGAGAAAATAGCGAGGGACAAAGAAGAAAGTGCCCAAAGTATGGGATTACTTCAAGCTAAAGAAAACGCAACACATTCTCAGTTACCGTCCGTCCACCGTAAAATGAAACTTATGTTGCCTCGGCAACAACATGACGGCACCTTATCAGAAAGCACCGTTATTCTGCCAGCGGACCACAGACAAGGTAACAGTAACAACTTTAGCATTTAACTGAAATCATGATTGATTGTTTAGTTGAAGGCTAGCCAAAGTAAGCCGCAGTCCTCAGCTGAAAATGTCCACACGTGCGTTTGTTGTTCTCTTTTTTGGGCCGTGAGTTGTAACCTCACAGTCATGAGTTAACTGGGTGTCGAGGAGCTGCACCTTTTTACTCCCCTCCAGCTCTCTCTGTAGCTCAGACAATCCCTGCTACCTGCGTGTGCTAATCCATCCTTTACCCATATTCCTTGTCTTTATAATCACCATCTTTATAATAACAAACAACAGCTGCTTTGTGTGCAGGATCGCTCATTTCCCGTTTCACATTTCCCGTGTGTTTTGACAAAATGTGGTTTGGAAAACTGCGTTGGGTGACACAGCTGCTGTGAGCTCGTGTAGTGTGTGACCCCCTGTCACCGATCAGTCACGTAGTGTGAACGCCACGACGACTTCAAGACGGCACTGCCATCGGCCGACGCTGAAAGTCGTTTAGTCTGCATGAGCCTTTAGTATAACTTGTATAGCACTCGGGTGATGTTTGTGTTGGTAAAGCGGCTGTCTGGTTGTTGGTCTGATGTTTGCTGTATGACACAATATGAATTTCCGAAAAGACTAATAAATATCTATCACCTATAAACGTGCACAGCTGATCCAGTTACCGGGGGTGATTGCTGTTTCAAGCAACAAGAAAGAAGCCAACTCCCACATATGGTTTTACGACTAAAACATTGCAATAAAAGTTGATTGCGAATGACGACAGTGTGCAGGTGTCTGTGTTCCCTTTTGGCAAATACATTATTGGTTCACTGTTTGCGCACCTGTCGCCTAAGACTCCTTCAAGGCTGCAAAACAATATTTTTTTCTTCACCTGTGCGATGCAACAAACATTTGCAGAACAGAGGTGGAATACATGCCAAATGCTTTGTATAAAGACAAAAAAAACATGTACAAATGTTTAGAAATTGCTTCCAGCGCTTGCCATTTGATGACACAATTGTGTCAAGCCCACTACTCAGATTCACTTAAAGCATTGACTGGCTACTAAAATTGTGCTTCTCAGGGCTTTCAGTCCCAACAGCAAGTGCAGCATTACTCACATCCAAACTTCACAGTAAATGAGTACTAACTCTTTTTACAAACTATAAAAGATCCATTTAGGGCGTGGAAAGAGGAAAAGAGAAGGTTGGGAGGAGACAGAAAGTGAATTAGGAAAAGGGAGGGAGATATGAGAGAGATAAAGAGAAAAAGATGGAGAGACACTGCCTATAGGTGATCTCAGCTGTAGTACGGCAGTAGACTTTTTACACGGTGGCTTGTGTGCTCCGTTGGAGCGACAGCTCTGATTTTCACTTCTCAGTCAAGAGCAAACAACTCTTAAAAGAGACAGACTTGTTGTCAGGAAGAGGGGGAGAGGAGAGAGTGCAGAGAGGGAAGGATGCAGGAGGGAGAAGAACAGCAAAGAGGAAAGAGTCAGGTAACAAAGACCCGTCACATCCCTGACAAGCCCTTCTACCATATCACTACGCTACATCACACAGAGAATAATGCATTGATCCTGTGGGAGGGTGGCCCTTATCTGCACACACTCCTACACGCTCATATCTGAGGAGATACAAATTAGAGCTTCCTCATAATACCTGAACAACAGCAAACTGAAGAAATGGGATGGAGGAAAAGTGCGGGAATATGGATGATCTGGGATGGAGAGGAGGAGGAGGAGGAAGAGGGAAAGGCAGGTTGTTTTGCCAAAACTGAAGCTCTTTGGTGTCAGGGAAGTGGGGGATTAAGGAGGGGAAAGCCAAGTGAAAACCCATGGGGGAGAAACTGCAAAAGAGGAGGAAGCTGCAGGTAAGGCTGAGAAACTAGAGGAGCTGGGTTGCAAAATGGCAAGGATCAGAACATGTTGCTGGATCAAATATCTGCTATTGATTCATGATGATGCAAATAAAAAATATAAAAAATTTAAAAAGCACACAGCGTAAACATAAAGAAAGCAGCAGGTTCAGAAGCAAAGAAAAGCACAAAGATGTATTTTTTATCCTTATCCAGGTGGACAAAACTCAATTAGCTGCATCACTGATTCCTGACGCATTCCTGGTATGTCTAACCCTGCGACCACTAGATAAATCACAGGACAAACAAAGAAATCCACAAAGCTGGTCAAACAAAACAAAACAGTGAGTCCATGCACAATCACAAGTCCTAAGGGTTTGCAGATAAAATGCAGATACACATCTTGTACTTGGCTCAGGCTCATCTTATCCAAAAAAGGAATAGTACTTTCATTATCAAAGGAAA